CTTCATTCGTGCGCAACAAGGTCCAATGATTAAAATCAAAAGGATTCATATGTAGGTTTGTTGCTTGTGTGGTTATTCCACAAAATCTGGCCTCTCCTGAACATCCTTAACCCCCTGAAGGCGATTGAAACAGCTTGGAGATGCTCTTAGACCCACCCACACACATACACACACACACACAATCCCAAATGTGAGTCCTCTCGGTTCGTTGGTAGCACCTCTCCTTTCGCGCATGTCTTCTCCCAGTTTTCCATCAGACTGACTTCATCTTGACTTCTCCGTCCCACCAAGTGGCCAATAAGAGCCTGGAGTAGACCTGACTTTCCAGTGCCAACAGCTCCTAAGACCACGGTCAAATGAGCCTTGCTTTGACCTTGCACCGGTGCAGGCACTGCGAAGCTCATCGGAGAGAGGAGCGGTGTGCCATTGGGCCATTTGAGTTCAGCATCTTGAACAACCACCGCCTCTCCAGTAGGATCATTGGTCCTTGCGAAGCTTGCTGGTACATCATGGCACCCAAAGACGTTAAAAGACGTTAAAAGGAAAATGAAAGACGTGCAAAGCACGTGCACCCAACAGAACCTCCAGCCCGCGGGGTTCAAAACCCGTGATTTCTTTCATATCGGCTGCGTGTCCGCCCACTGATCTCAGAGGCTACCAGGAACTTCTCCAAGCGCTTGACGGAAACATTGGCCTCCACCGCACTGGTGATGGTGTTCGGAAACATCGTCAAAGGAAAGCGAAGTACATTGAAAAGGGAGACTGCGGTAAAGGCCGTGGCGGGCATTAACTCTCCGTAGCTTGCAGAGTAGACTGCAAAGGTGGCCAAAGCTGTGAGGATGGGAGCAGTGGCCCACATGGCTGAGCTGATGATCTGGAGGATTTGATACGTCCGCAACTGTTTCAGCTCCTTTTCACGAATGCCGTCGAGCCTTGACTCAAAAGAATCTTCCCAACCATACCTGGGCAAATGTGCTTTCAGCAAGCATGCAGCATGTTTCTATAAGTGTCTAGAGTCTATATATCATTTCTATATTCTTCTGGTCCTTCAGAACTGTTCAATCTTTACCTTGTCTTGAAAGATCTTGGAAGTAGTTTTGAGGTTCATGAATGTTGGGGGACAATGTCTTCTTACCTTTGACTTTCAAGATGCATCTTCAACAAGCGGATGGATCCAAACATTTCGTTGGTGATCTTGATGCGATTATCCTTGATCGACATCAACTTCCTCTGCGCCAGTCGGATGGATCGCGCCACGACCGTCACGGCGGGGATCTGCAAAAGCATGACCATGACACCGGCCACCATGGACCAACCCACAACAAAATAAAGGAAGATCAAGGTGATGGTGATTTGATATGGGCCACTCCACAAAGTGTGCATATAGGTCATCGCGTCTTGCAAACGTTGGGAATCAACGGACATCAAGTTGACAATCTCCCCTGTAGTGCGTTGCTCTTCCCCAGACTCGTCTTTGCCTGCACCTGCGATTCGAAGCGCCTTGCCGTACACGAGCGAGATGATAGAAGCATTTAGCCTCATTCCCGTGCGTAAGCACCGGTGAAAGTACTGGTGAAGCACCGTGGTCTGTAATGCCGCACTGCCAAGTATGAGGAGCACAAACATCATTCCAGTGGCCAAGGTACATTCCCCTTCATCTGCTGGACCTTTCCCTGCATTGCAATGACTTAAGTAGTTCAACAAGTCTTTGAGGATGTAGGGTCCCGCCATCTGCAAACTGTCATAAATCAGCTTGAAGCAGGCGGCAAAGAGGTATGGACCACCAAAGGCTTGTCGCAAGGAGCGGATCAACGATGGACTATGCGCTTGCCAGGCCGCGTGTGCTTCTTGGCTCAGCTTCCGTGGCACGTCGTCCTGGCGTAAGCAAAGAAGATCCTCCTCGGTGAGCGCCGCAGGGCCCTGCAGGGAGAACTCAGAATCGAGTACAAGCAAGCTGTCCGATTTGTGACAACGACAACGACTGTACAAACAAGCACAAACATGATCTAACCAAAAAAAATGCTTGCGCTGGCACACATTTGCCTGACTCTCACCACGAGCTCTCTGCCATTCGCGATTGTAGCCTAAAGAGATTATGGAACCCACCCAGCTGAAGGTGATCCTTGAGAAGCAATTTGCGCCATCCTCCACTGACACCTCTGCCTCTTCAGCGCTCGGGCTTACACTTCGGCGCACCAGCGGCAAGGAGAGCTCCGTGCGCCGAGGCTCCGTCATGGTGCCGGCAAGTGCCCGCCGCGCAGGCGCGAGACTTTAGCTGTGTTGTAGAACAGTTGCATCACACTAGGACTATCAGTCTTTGTCATGGTTTGTTGGGTTTGCTGCAAGTGTCGCAAGTTTTGATTGGGGCTCCAGATGCGCTGGAACCAAAAAGCAATCTATGCAAGCGACATAGTGAACACAAAACACCTGGGCAGTTCACATCAACTTGAAGAAACGTCACAGCAACTGCTGAAGGTCCTGCAATACAATAATACCACCTTTTCTGATCAACCCTGCCAGGCAGTTCGATCAAGAGCCACTGCTGGAGTCAGTGTAAAAGTTGCTCCGCACTTGCTCGGCCAATGCCTCAGAAGCGGTTGCAGGCCCAATTCTGAGGTGCGAAATCGCAGGTGACATAAGATGTGAAGAATGAGCAAGGACTGCAACACGCTGGTAGATGAGTTATGTGAAATCTTCGACATCCGCAAGTTCGCAAGCTGAACTTCGATTCGCCTAGCTTTGTCTGATTCAACTACCGAGTTCACTGGGCCTCCCACTGGATTTTCTGCGAGTTCACCAACCGAAACGACTTGGCCACGAGTGCAAAGTCTCCCGTAGTAGTCCTCAGCGCAGCGACGTCTCCCACGACGTGAAGTCATCCATTTCACGTTGGCTTTCCGCATTTATATAATTAGAAACAATAAGCTACTAGGAACAAGTGCATCGCTACTAGTAACAAGTGCCTTACTAGTAGTAACAAGAAGCTACTAGGAACAAGTGCATCGCTACTAGTAACAAGTGCCTTACTAGTAGTAACAAGAAGCTACTAGGAACAAGTGCATCGCTAGT